TTTGCTACAAAATTTGACGATATTCTTTCTGCTTTTCAGAAGAATTTTAGTTTTCTATCAAAAAGAAAAAACAAAACAAAACAAAAAAGCCCCCAAACGACAACGCACGAAAGTATCATGTCATTCTTGCCTATCAATTGAGAAGATTATTTTCGATTGTACTACAGTTTCTTTGTTTGGAATTTGTAGGCTTTGCTTTGTTTCGTTTTGTTTTTATTTTGAAAACCTTTTTTTTAGGTATTTTTCATTGTTAATTTCAGACAATTTTCACCGGAACTTGAAGATCCTTGCAGGGTTATGTTTCTCATGCAAGTGTCAAGTACGGAGGCTAATCCGTTCACATGGTTAGCTCAGTCACGGTTGTCACTTTTTTGTACCGATTCTCTGGTAACATGCCATAAGATAACGCCATTGAAAATACAACTCTAATTGGGGGTAATTTGTTGAATGAAGACGCAAAATAAAATCGAAATAGTTTTAAAATTATGCGAGACACTTTCTAAATTAAACTCGTCCAGACTTCGAATTAAAATTATTTGATCTGTTACAAAACATGTCGTATACGACCCAACTCTTTCCAAATCCGACCACCCTTGCCAAACGAGATTGCGCTATTGTCGAACTTTGAAATGTTTTGGTTTGCGGTTTGCAGTCCTGAGGGTCGAGGCTAGGGTATGCCGCTGGTGCTCCTTTTACAAGTATTTTATTTCTCGCAAATTGCGGTCTGGAACCATGGTGTTACACTGTTATCTTTTTTTCGTCCTTTTTTTTCGATGCTAGACATTTGCTTTGTTGCCTGATTTCCAGTTGCGGCGGCAAACGCTCCCGTTTCTTTTTTTCAGTTTTATACAACTAACGGTCGTTGTCTTGATTCGAGCGATTTCCATCGGTCAGGTCCTGAGAAGAGTTCTTCTGGCTACAAGAAGCGGATCTCATTTTTTGATATTTTACTCATCTCTCACTGTCAAACATGTTTTACGTTTAAGTCTTCCATATTATTCCGAATAAAAAATTTAAATAACAACAAAAAGTGCTTTGATTGAGCTCTATTTATAGCATGGTCTTTACTGATTTCAGACGAAACAAAGTGATTGGTCGCAAAATCACAGTTAACGCTGGCTTTTTTCAACATTATCCTGTCGTCAAGAAGCTTATTTCCAACCCGTTTACTGATGAGCCATAGTAAGATAGTAATAATATCAAACAATGGTGATTTAATCGTTGTTCTCTGATTTGTTTATTAACGGGCGAACACGCCTTTCATTTATTGATCAGCAAATCCAGCCTTGCGTGTTAACCATTTTAATTGGAAGCTTTCCTGTCAGGCCAAGAGTAGTTTCATGTACTGAAATAACTAGTGATGGCTTTTACGACTGACCGTTGAGATTTTGGCTATTTTACGGGGAGGATATGATAACAGAAATTTGGTCATTGCGTTCTTTCGAACGCAGTCCTAATTTCATACAGATTTGAACTGTGGTCACTTCTGGTTTTTTTAAAACTAAGAAAAGTTAAATTTAAAAAAATGGTTGATCATTCTCATTGTTCTAAAACACAATTACGACAGTTGTTCACTTCCTAGGTCAACTGAGTCCGGAAAAAAAACGGCTCTATAAGAATTGTCATGGACATAGCTAGCATAATACTACTTCAGTCACCTTCAGGAATCTAAGCCAAATGTCCTTGTTTTTGTTAAGGGATAGAATGTTGCAGCCGTCGTAATCGCAGTGGCTAAAAGACAAGTGGCCTAAAGACAAGACACATAACAATCAACCATTTGACACTTAAAATGAGACGCTGTTGATAAGAAAAATAGTTTTCGATTAGCTTTTTCTCGACCAACGTTTGGGTGTTTCCGGCTAACGGTTGATGACGGCAATTTAACGAGTACTTAATCGTGTTGAATCTGAATGCGCGTCGAGACTAAGTTGTATTTGTCTCCAGTTCAGCATTCGTGTACCAAACAGTTGAGTTTTTTAGTACTCAACTTAAATTTTATTACCTCTCCAATGGTGCTAATTTTTTTAAAATTTTTATTTCAGTTGCCATAACAGCGTGTGACAGAGCTTTACCATAACTTATATCATTTAGTATCCAACTGTACTTCGTAGAGTACAAAGAACACGCGAGACGAGTACAAATATCACGCGATATTTGTCCTCCAGATCTGCAAAATTCGCCCGCACTGAAATAACAGTTTGACGTGTTGGTTAATAAATCTCTTATTAGACGTTTGGTTGTGTAGTATCGCTAAGTATTTTTACGAGTTGTGCTGTATTTTGACGAGCCCGTCGGGGGCGGATATTTCTGGAGTACAAATATCGCGTGATATTTGTCACTAATTGTCAATTGTCACTGCGGAAATAAAGAACAGCTCAAAAATAAATTGCGCCCCTTTTTCAAATGAAGTGGGATCCTTTCCAAACAACTCTTGCCAGGGCTCCGAAGTAAATAGTCTAAGCGTTGCTTGCTAGACAAAGAAAGACAGCACCATTGTCGGACTTTGATTGTTTCGGTTTGTGGTTGGGATAAAGGTTTAAGTATACCACTGTTGTGCCTTCCATATGGTTTATTTCTCACGAATTGTGTCCTGAACTCATAGTGTTATACTCTGATTTTAATTTCCGCTTGCGGTCGCAAATAGTTGCGTGTTTCTGAAGTTCTAGACAATCAACATGACCCACAAGGATCATTGTTAAACGGTGTGGTTTCGGTTTTTTTTTATTTTCGGCTCAACAGTTCTATGGCGGACTGGTGTCATCAACACTATTAATATTTCTTGTTAGATTGAAATAGCTTCGTAAGCGTTTGCTACAAAATTTGACGATATTCTTTCTGCTTTTCAGAAGAATTTTAGTTTTCTATGAAAAGCAAAAACAAAAACAAACAAAACAAACAAAACAAACACAGAAGTGTCATGACTTTCTTGCCTATCAAATGGGAAGATTATTTTCGATTGTACTACGGCTTCAATGTTTGGAATTGCAGGCTTTGCTTTATTTTTTGTTTTTATTTTCAAAACCTTCTTTTCTGGTATTTTTCATTGTTAATTTTCAGACAATTTTCACCGAAACTTGAAGATCCTTACAGGGTTATACGTCTCATGCAAGTGTCAAGTACGGAGGCTAATCCGTTCACATGGTTAGCATAGTCACGCTGTCAATTTTTTCGAGTTATCCTACCGATTCTTCGGCAACCGGAAATATGATAGCGCCATCGAAAGTACAACTATAATTGTAGGTAATTTGTTGAATGTAGACTCAAAATAAAATCGAAATTCTTCAGTTCGGAAAATATCGAAATAGTTTAAAAATGATGTGAGACACTTTCTAAATTAAACTCGTCGAAACTTCGAATTAAAATAATCTATCTGTTAGATATATAAAATGTTGCAAAACATGTCGTATATGACCGAACTCTTTCCAAATCCGACCACCCTTGCTTAAGGAGACCGCGCCATTGTCTAACTTTGAAATGTTTTGTCTGCGGTTTGCAGTCCTGAGGGTCAAGGCTAGAGTATACCGCTGGTGCACCTTTTATATATTTTTTTTCTCACAAATTGTGGTCTGAAACCACAATATTGCACTGTCATCTTTTTTTTTTGTCCTTCTCTGTCGATGTTAGACATTAGCTTTGTTGCTTGTTTTCCAGTTGCGGCGGTCGTCTAACGGTCGTTGTCGTGATTCAAGCGATTTCCGTCGGACAGGTCCAGAGAATAATTCTTATGACTACATGAGGCGGATATTATTCTTTAATATTTTACGCATCTCTCATTGTCAAACATGTTTTGCTTTCAAGTCTTCCATATTATTCCAAATATAAATAACAACAAAAAGTGCTTTGTTTGAGCTCTATCTATAGCATGGTCTAGTCTAATTTGGACGAAACAAAGTGAGTGGTCTCAAAATCTCAGTTAATACTGTTTTTTTTTTTTCAACAATACCCTGCCGTGAGGAAGCTTATTTTCAATTCGTTCACTGATGAGCCATGGTAAGATGGTAGTAATATCAAACAATGGTGATTAAATCGTTGTTCTCTGATTTGTTCATAAACGGGTGAACACGCCCATAATTATTGATCAGCAGATCCAGACATTGTCTCTTATTTGAATGGAAGCTCCCCTGCCCGGCTAAGAGTTTGCAACCTTTTTTGTTCTGAAATAACTAATGATGGCTTCTACGGCTGACCGTTGAGATTTTGGTCATTTGACGGTGAGAATATGGTAACGGAAATTAAATCATTGCGTTCGACAGAAGCAGTCCTTATTGAAACTGAATTAAAAATTTTTGAGCTGTGATCACTTCTAGTTTTTTTTTTTAACTTAGGAAAGTTAAATTAAAAAAAATGGTGAATCATTCTCATTGTCCTAAAACACATTTACGACAGTTGTTCACTTACTAGCTCAAGTACGAAAAAAAACCAAAAAAAAAACGGCACAATAAGAATTGTTATGGACATAGCTAGCACACTACTTCAGTCACCGCAAGGAACCTAAGCCGAAGGTCTTCGTTTTTGTTAAGAGATAAAATGTTAGCATCGCGTTTAGGTGAAATGGTAAACGTCAGCTTACACGTTACACGTAAAATAGCGTGAACCTCGCCGCTTTAACTTCGCGTGAGCTCAAGTCCCGGTGAATTTGAAGGCGCCCTTTTGACTTACAAGGAATAGTTTTGGTGCCCTTTTTTCTGGCAATTAACGTCTACTCTGTGAGAGAAAAAATGAAGAAAATCTTACGTACACGACAAACGCGAAACAGGTTACTTTCACTTAGAAACGGCAAACTGCAACCGGTAAATGCTGAAAAAACGGCGGGAAAAACAAGGGCACGTGGTCACTCTTGCAGTTTATGTTTCACCAAACGCGCTGCTAAATCTCTCTAAGGGTTATTTAACGAGTACTTTACTCCTGTTGAATCTAAATGCGCGTCGAGACTAAGTCGTATTTGTACGTCTCCTACTCAACACTCGCGTACCAAACAGTTGAGTTTTTTAGTATTCAACTTGAACTTCATTACCCTTCCAATGGTGTTCATTTTTTCAAAATAGTTGTTGCTCCTTCACTTGTCGTGAAATCTTTTTAAACCCTTTCTTCTCCCACAACAATGAAAGGTGAAATTTGTTATCAACCCATGTAATCAAAGGGCTAAATTTGAGATAAGAAATTAGCTTACCAAAACTGACTTGATCAACTTTTCTGCGATTATTGTGAAAGGAAACTGGACGGTCTTTAACCCACAACAGTTACTGTCTCCGTCGGCGACCTTGGCCATAACAGGCTAAATAAGCGGCTTTTTCATAGTTATATACCAAAAAAACAAAACGGAAAAAAAATTCTTGCCGTTACTTAGCTGGAGGTCTTAACAGCGTAGAGGATTAAAGTTCTTCCACACTTCGGGTATTCATTGCAACTACTGCTGAGAACTGCGCTAAGTCATCAATATCATGGAGAGCCAGTATTGATTAATTTTCGATTTTGTTTTCTCTCTCTGGAGCATAAAAACGGAGAAACAAAACAGCCATGAGTGTCGCTGATGTACAGACCCCCCCCCGCAGGATATTTTATGTTGTGCAAAACTACGCTTAACTTTTAGTTTAATGTTAGATTGACATGATACAAAAAAATAATAATAAAGAGAGGAAACAATAGTTCATTATTAGCACTCCTGAATCAAACGTTAAGGTGATGAGAATAAACGTTATCATTAAATTAACTAGAGAATCTCTTGATTGTTAAACAAATTCTCCTTGTCAGCACCTCAGGAAATGTATAGAGAACAGTATGGAGAATATGCATACTGATGTTAGAGTGTATAGGGTTACCGCTTTGATGGTAAACTTCTATTTCCTTAATGAAACGCATCCCTGAATTTTGTGTATCAACTATCGAACAATGGTTGAATAGTGTAACCAAATGGCAATTAGCTTAAGTATTTGTCAAGTTGTATTCAAAAGTGTGTTGAACATAAATTATTTCCGTAACATTTTGTGTATGAAAGGGAGTCCAAGTTGTCATCAGAACTATAAACGTTTGGTTCACTTTTGCTCAGTTAACATGCGGGAGTTTCGGCCCGTCACGTCAACCTCAACGGACTTCAGTGCGCGATGAATCTCAGGACAGGCTAGGTGAACATTGTGGGCAGCGGCATCCACCAATGGCTGTAACAGTTCATTGATTTCCTGTAGAATAACCGGCGTCTGTAAACACACAGAACACGTCAGTTATGAACTGAACAGATGACTTAAGGCAGCAAAATGAACAGAAAAATAATCAGATGACGTGTCTTACTTTAGACGAAATAAGTAAATTTAATGTGCGTGAGACAGGATTTGTTGAAGTCACCAGACGGATCTTGTCTACAAAGAAACCAAAAGAGGATTTCATTTTAAAGTATTCAAACGAACTGAAAACAAGAACAATCAGAAAACTCCACGTTTATCTGACAACATAAATTGAAGGCGGGTTAGATTGCTTCAACACCTCGTAAGCGCGGCAGAAATCCATTCGGCGTGAAGGCTGTCCTGCGGGATAACACCCGCTCCAGTTTATCACAGTACGCGGTTACCATAGAACTTAAAGCTGAGGCATCAAGAAGTGACTGGAGGAAAACAACGAAAGGCACCAATGAGAGTTGGCCTGTTTAAGTGAATACGTGTGGGTTGGGCAAAACAAAAGAGAAATCAAATAAAAGATTGTTGTTGCTACCGATGCAGACCACCATCCACCCCAACAAAAAGTTTTTTTTTTTGCACTCAACTACTTTGAACAAAAAAAAGGTTACATTCATAATGCAACATTCCTCGTTACTTTCTCGGGTTCGCTACCATCTAGAGACTAGAGGATCTTACCATTAACACGGAAATCCTATAACTTCCAAACGGAAAAATCAAAGAATAGCGTCATTTTATTTACAACGTTTTGAAAATCATGGACAACAGTTTAGGGTGATACACTTCTTCCTTTCAAATTTTAGTGGACTTAAGTAAGTTTTTTCTGCTTCGAGAAACCAACGTCACTGCTGAAATCTTTGTGCGCGAACTTTACCACGGGAAGGTTCATTTGCGACCCATATAGCGGATTCTACACGTCCTCCTGTCTTCCTGTAGTGGAATCTGCGATCGGGCGTTCATTTTGTGGGAGAGCGCAGAAGTGTGGCAGCTCAATAACACTTTTGTGTTCCCCAGAAAAAAAGGAACGCGTCAATGCAAGTTGGCTGTCATGAAGTGTCTCCTACCGTTCTCTCATCGTCGTCCAACACCGGTCTAAATGCTCTGCTCACTTCCTCATTTACGAGGCTCTGTAGTGTCCTATTCACAGTGCATAAGTACTCAAGTTGGAAAGCCACACTGTGGAACATGCGCCATGCTTCCAGAAGATACGACTTGTGCTGTGAAAACATCAAAAACACTCACTCACTCAAGCTTAACATGCCGAATAGCACAGAAGACGGAATAGAAACAAAATCATACTACAGTGGTTTCCATTTGTTGGTCATTCATGAGAAAATTATCCCTAAAGAGGAGTAAAACCAAAACCAAAGCAGTCTCAAGGAACATTTGGAAGAAAAGAAATGATTACAGGGAACCAATAACGACGCAGAACAACAGCCTAAAGCGCGATTGGTCTAAGTTTTACATGATTCTGATAGGTTGAGAGGATGAAGAGAATTTTCTAAACCAATCAAGAGCGTAGTTCTGCCTTTGAGCAGTTGCGAGGTGGGAAGAGACGCGAGTGTTCGAGATGAAACACACAGAACAAAGTAGAGTAAAACCAACGTTGTTTTAGATTATTATGGATTTTCAATTCCTAATTAACAGGATTTCCATTCACCTTACTTATAAGCGACTTTACCATGAGCCATCGATAAACCGCCAACAAGTCATCTTCTTCCTTAGCACGCTCTATGTAATGATCCACGTGAACTAAACTAAGTACCAGATTCTCCCCTTTGCATGGGTCCGTACGGTCCTGGGGTCCACAGCATCGCGTGTATAATAACGCCTACAACAACAGTGAAGGGTTATTTGAGTACAAACCTCAGCTTATTACCACTCTTAGTGCTAACTATGCACCACCAACTACTCTTTTTTCGCACGCGGACAACTACACTCACAGATGGACAACGGACTTTGGTTCAAATTTGGTGAAAATTCAGTTCATTTGTTCATCAATTATTGGTTGTATGGGCGTATTTTCTCGTACTGTCTGTAACTTACCGCATCCTGTCTCGAGAAGACTATTTGATAAAACGCTAACGGATTACTGCTTGAGTTATAAAACCGCTCGTAGCTGAAACAAAAGTGACAAAGAGATACTGAAATAAAACGTAACAGAAACAAAAGATTTAAATCTCCGAGATATTTTATGGGAAAATTCATTACTTGACGAGGGCATTCTGCATTAAATTGCACGCGAAAACCGATATCGCATGCACGAATCCCCAAGCGATGAGTGCGACATCGGTTTTCAAGTGCAATTTAATGCGGAATTCACAAGTGAAGTAATGGATTTTCCTTGAATCGCATAACTGAATAAAAATGAGAAAAAAAAGGAAACAGCATTAGTTAAAATTGTCATGTTTACGTAGATGCGAAACATTTTCACTTAGCCTCGTTTCCAACTCGCAATTCCACGCTAAATACCTCGCTTCGTTAACCATTCAGAATGCGAGATTTTATTCATTGATGCGATTCCAACTGAAATTCAACCAGTGATCTGAGGCAAATCAGGGCCACGTTGTTGAATTCCCTAATAAGCCAGCCGGGATTTGGCGTCAATTATACGCTCAGTTTTGTCACTTTGAAGACAGTTTTATCGGACAAATCATAGCGGACAGTCGACAATAACGATGCAAATTCGAAGCATGTTTTAAGTAGAACTAGTACCAACGTAACCCCACAGAGCCCATAGTTGATACTGCGAGGACCAGTTCAGCAACATTCACCCCTACTCCATAGAGAACAGGGTGTTTGACTCACCCCTGTTCTTGTCCGTGCAAAAGATGCAGGCAAAAAGTCTTCTTCACCATGACAAGCCGCCAATCAAAGGCAACATACACCTGCAAACACAGTTTTTATAATTCAATGTCGCGTATCCTTGTGGGTCGAACGTGATCAAAGCCTGTGGGTGGTTTAGTGAGCGCCTCTCAAAGAGCCATGAGCGACGAAAAGTGCACTCAAGACCGCCAGCTGCGCAAGCTGATATGACAGAGGTTCAAGAAAAACAAAGACAGAAGATACAGAAGATAAAGTTCTGATACCTACCCTCAAATACAAAGACTGTTTGGATTTCACAGAAGAAATCAACTGTAAAAGGAAAGTTTTCTTTCTTTGAGGAGGTACGATGTCGTGAAGGCTTCGCCTTAGAGTTTCTCCGCCGAGGTAAAAACCTTCGAAAAAAAACAGCAATTATCAAAAATCAGTCTAGTGGGTAGTCACTTCATATGTGGTTCGAAACAGTTTTCTTTGACGAGTGGAGGTGCCGGAGCACGGCAACAGCAAGATTTTACACAAGTTTGTAGGACCGGTTTAAAAAACGAAGGTGAGACAAATCTGAACATTGAAACTATCTGAGCAAGTGTGGACCGACCCCTCCCCTGACCCAACAAAAGTGAAGTGATAACAAGTCGGGTTAGAGCAGGGGTGGGTACGCAATTGCTTAGACATTGATCCAACAAATATCTGAGCCCACGTATCTAAAAGACAGGGTCATATTCCTAAGGGTAAGCAGCTCTAAGCTCTATCCTCAACACAAACCATCCCTTTGATTCGAGGTACCCTGGTCAGAAAGCCTTACCCTGCGAGCACAGCCTTTTCTTCTTTTCTTCTTTTTAACCCTTCAAGGGAAAAGGCTCTGCTGACATCCTGTTGTTGCTTTGAAATGCCGAAAGCCCAAAACTCCGGGCTACTCAAGCCGGTTTTGCCTCCAGTCATACCAGTTTTGGTGCGTACGCCTTTGTTTTTCATGTAAACAGATGACCAAATTTGCGCCCACAAACGCAAGGGGTGTGGAAAAGGATCAGTTTCTAGGCAACCGCCGCGCATGTTCAAATGAGCAACAACAAAATGTCGGCAGGGCTTTTTTTCCCTTTTCGATTCGAGGACGGGTTAAAAAGGTTTTGCTCGCAGGGTAAGAAAGCCTGTTACTTGCCTGATACTGTTACTTACCAAGAAAGAGAACATCTTCTTTTTCACTGAAGTCCACGAGATGCTCGTACACTACAAAAGTAAACGAAGCAAGAAAGTTTCGGTTGAGTGGGTCGTTATCTGGATTAGGACCCACTATTCATGTTCTGTTTCTCTCACAAATTCCCACAGCTGTTGACAGACTGTCGCCCTATCTCACTGCGAGTGCAAGACAACATACCCGTAGGCATGCGCTGTTTTTCAAAAAAAAGTGGCACGTCAGGTTTTAACAAAAGCACCTGTCACGGAAAACCTTGTCAAAATTTTCACTCTGAAATTTTTCCAGTACAAATGTGGTTTTCGAGTTCATAGCTTTTCTCTTAGTAGAAAAATTGTCCATTGAATGTCGAGAATAACCCAAGATTACTCGACAGACCATTCTGGTGTAATTTTCTTTCCTTAGCTCCGTGATTGGTTTAGAAAACTCGCGCCACTTTCTTAACCAGTCAAATTCCAATTTACACTAATCGCGACTACGTCACTCGAAGTTTAACCCTTTAACTCCCAATATGTGATTATTAATTTTCAACTCTAGCTGCTACACATTTTCGTGTAGATTAGTTAAGGGAATTTGTTGTTAGATCAAGAGAACTTCTACCTGATAAGTTTGAGTATTCTCATTACCTTTCTGCAGGACAATGTATGGATATTATAGGGAGAAGTTACATGTAAATCACATCTGGGAGTCAAAGAGTTAAAGCCCTTTTCTTGTTTTCACTACATGACTCCTCGAGATATTTTCCTTTCGTATGGTTACCTGGGGTGATTACTTTGTTCCTAGTTTACCGACACTCAATCGAAGTACTTTGTATTACAAACTACAGAGAAATTAGTCAAGAGTTCGTCTCACCGAGTTTAGCAAAGTGTTGTATAGCTTCTGCCTTCCTGTGACTTGGACCTTGAACGAAATAATGCTCCTCCAGATCCACATCGTGTAAATATGGCATCATACGACCATAGATGGGGCTAAAACCACACACAGCCAAGTCAACAACGGTCTGATAAAACAATTTAGAAGTGAAACATTTTAATCAGTCGAATGTTGTAATTTTAACAGTTAAGTCTATCAGGTTTTTCATATGCTCAATATGCGCCTTGCTTGCACCTCATGTCAGTATGACGTAAATTTTTTACATTAAATGTAAGTAAGCTGGTGGTAAAACGAACACAAACTTCACGAGCCTTTTCAAATGCACTAAATAGTCAAATAACAAAAATATGCAACATTCAGTTAAGTTCCTCTAGATATTTAATTAGCCAGAAATATCCATTAACTTAAAAATCGGCCAAAACAACTGCTCAGCCGGAACTGGAAGCACGAGAAAAATTTACCGAAAAACCTGCAACCGTCATTCTTGTGCTGACTTTGTTGGCGAGACTGTGTAGTGTGGAACGAAGGGTGTTGTAATGTCTTCCATCCAGCGCTGCTACCGCACTTACAGTGCCTGTTGGCCAATAATGGCACTTTAATAAAACAACATCAACAACAGCAACAATACCATCAACAAAAATACACCGCCGGGAGCGGTAAGGGAGTATTGTATGCGAGAAGTGAACCACGGGACGGGGAGTCAAAGGAGCGGGTGGGGGAAGAGTCTGGAGTAATTTTTAACAAGATGTTAATAAAACTAACCACTCACCGTATGCTTCAATGCCAGGAATATGATGCACAAGATTGTCAGCATCGATAGGTTGAACAGAGGTTGTCACGAGTTTGGACAAAAGTTTTGCAGGCTTCTCTCCAAACAGTTCCATTCTACAGAAGAGTTAAGAGTGTCAGAGGATACAAAATGAGCCAAACTGGTACAAACGGAGTTTTCCCTAATTTATACACTCGACTAAAGCAGTTTTCAATTGAGTTTCGAAAGTGGTCGGGGATTCCTTTGATTTTGCTTTATTCTGATTGGTTCAGAAATCTCATGCCACTTTCTTTACCAATCAGATTCGAAACTATCACCAATCGCTAATTTCAGAGTTACTCGCGTTTATCCCTTTACACCCTAACATCAATATGCATATTCTCCCTCCTGTTCTCTTTACATTTGCTATGGCATTGACAAGGAGCACTTGTTCAACAGTCGAGTCTTTTTGGTAGATGATCATTTCCTTTATCCTTATGACCCTCCTGTTTGATTCGAGAGGGGTACTGGGGGAAGAATTTACATTGACATGTTAGTCACAGATAGAGTTAAATAAGGTTCAACCCTCTGTTATCTTACTTCAAGGCGGCCACGGAGAGTTCAGATGTCAATCTGGGGTAAGGATTTGGTGGGATGCACTCCTCGTCAGTCACAAGGTCAACTAAAAACTCGTGGAACACTTGATCAAGCTTCGAGTCAGCAATGTACTAAAAGAATAAAGGACAGAATTTTTATTTAACGTGATCTTTTAAAGAAGCTATATAATGGTTTGTGTATTATGAAAAATGTAAATCAAATTTGTCCAAGTCTTCATTTTCGACAGGTATCATTAGTGTCCATCCTCAGCCATTTTTGTTCCTCTGTGGTTTATTACTTCTTCGAATTTTTTCTATCTTGCCTTATTTTAGCTACGTCAGGACATTCTGAGCTGTCTTCACATTGTACAACATTCCTTTACCTGGGGGAATTCAAAAAGAAATAATGATAATAATAGTATCAATCAGGAGTGGACAAACTTCCAACAGGAAAGAGTGAACTAAACATTATCATAGTTGATTGAAAGTTTGAAAAAAGATGGACAACTGAAATTGGCGTGGGTTTGAAGGGACGAACCTAGAACTGATTTAAGTTAACATAGGCACATTTGTTTACCTGCATCAAAACAGTTTCCTTTGCAATGACAGCGGGTGCAGCGACAGTTTTGGCCTGTTCGTCCACAGACAACACTGAAAGATAAGAAACTAAATTAATTTAAAATCAAAAATTATCTTGTCCTCCTTTAAAGGTACATGACAACCAAATTTTCAAAACGAAGCAAAGCAAACGCCATCTTAGACAACTTTCGACAATTGATAGAGCAAGTTTCCACTGAGTTCGAAAATAATTCGAGGTTGCACTGGCTTGCTTTTCTTCGCTCTGTGATTGGTGCGAAAAACTCGCACTACTCTCTAAACCAATCAGATGCAAAACAAAATCAATCACAACGTGGTCGCCGGCGTTTTCCCGCGCTTAAGCCACCTTGGCTGTTTTTACTCACTGGCACTTAAACGTATTTTCCTTTCTTCTGATTGGCTGTTGTGATTACTTTGGTTTTGGTTTAAAGACACTCAATCGAGAAGCGTTCTAAATAATAAACACGTTTAACAGCGTACAAAGCTTGTCCTGGGTGATTATGTCTGCTTTTTCAACTCCATGTCCAAAGCTGTGCTGCACCATGAGAGAGTTCTTTTTTTTCACAGGAGGAAAATATTTCTATCAAAGAGAAGATAATATGATTTTATCAAAACCTTAGCTTCAATTACTGCCATTAGAGAATTATGCTAAGTGTTTTCAAAGACAAATCAACAGATAAGTTATGATTAATAAAAACGGTAAGGTTACAACACCACCAAATCACTGAAAATATAAATAGCAAGTCTATCTCACACACCATCAGAGAGGAACAGCAAGACAAAGCAATGTCTATCAAGCCAAGGAAGATTGTCTCACAATATCTGTTTATCACTTCTAGTCCCCTGCTGACCTACAAGAATTAACAGAGACTGTTTCTCAATTCACTCAAGTACTGCTTCAAGTGCGTCACAGAGAATCTGCGAAACCCATTCTCTCAGATTCGCTTCAGGCCACACTTGGAAGTGAAAGGAATAAAGGAGCTGAACTTAACACGTACCTCTACAGAAAGTGGTAAACTACCAGTGCTCGTTTTTCCATCCAAATGAGGATTTATAACTGTCATAGCATCCAGCATGTTAAGAAGTTTATTCCCACAATACAGAAAATCCTTGCTCTTCTCCTTCCTGCAGTTGAACAACAATTCACGTTACAATCAGTACAAGGTGCTTTCAACCCCCCCATTCTCTACCAAAAGTGATAAACATGGTACTTCTCCTTACGAGTCCAATATGTTATCTTGCAAACAAGTAATCGGAAGACAGGCTCATCAGAAAGAGGACGTTAAGTTGTTGTTTTGATAAAAAGACTACGACCGTGTAATCCATAGTCCAGTACTCTAACCATTATGCACACTACTGTGCCATCAAGGTGGTCTTATATCAAATACGTATGAAACTAAATATAATTTCAGTTGTGGGAAGAAAAACCCATCACTTTTACAAATGAAAACACATTTAAAAAGGAAAAATAAAACTCAGTGGTTCTCACAAGGAATTGCAGAAGAAGTCCTTCAAGGAATGTCTGTAGGTCATGAAATGAGTCTGTAAAATGTCTGATGCACCCATCTGAAAGGGGTAAAAGAGTGTTCGTATAAGAAAAAAAAATATTTGAAAAAAAGATGTCATTTGTCTTGTTTTCCCTTTTTAGCTACAGAGAAATTCAATTGTATGCTGGACCATATGCTAGATTTTTATCCAATGAGTGTTTGGCATACTCCTAACATCAGCAATGTAACGTGCATTGTCAACACAGATAGATTTTCTTAGTTAGTAAATTTGAGTTCAGTCGTCCAATNGGGATTTAGACTGCCGGTTTGAAAGATGAGCTTTTGTTCAAGAGTTTTACGGCTTTCCGTGCTACTTAAATGTAAGGAAAGACCGAAGATTGCCATATGTTGCTTGGAATGATTAAGAACAAATATGTCAAGACATTCATCTCGTCTAACCCCACATGAAGTAAAGAAGGTCACAAGATCTTGAAGCACGTGGTTCTGCTGCATCACAAGATGAAGTTGGTAAGCTGTGCTCCTCATAAGTCTGTAGGCCTCCACAAGACAGTCCTGGCTCTCACCATCCTCCCTTGGACAAAAGTGAAAATAATAATAATAATAATAATAATGATAATAATAATAATAATAATAATAATAATAGTAATCATAGTCTTAATAATGCAAGATGTTCACAATAGTAATGATAACGATAAAAAATGATAATAACGATTAAGAGCTTCTTTTGGAGGTGATCATTTCCTTCATTCTAAACTTCATGTTTGATTTCGGGGTGACATTGTAAGGAGCAATTAGTCATTCTTGTGGCTCAAAGGGTTAAAACACTATTTAGTGCATTGGTGATGAAGGTGAAAAACAAAATAGTGTTTCCTCTTCAGAGTGTTATCGTATTTCACCCCAGTTTTCTTAACTAATTTACAATGAAATAAATCAGAGATAAAGGAAGAGTCACAGCTCAAATTTAAAGGAGTTACAGCATTGGTACACTGAACAATGCATGATCGAAAAAGACAGACCTGTTTAGAAGGGTCAAAAGAATAACGTAGTGAAGCATTCTAAAGAAATCAGTTTCGTCTGCAAGGTCAAGGATTTTGCCACTAAGGTAGGTTCTGCAAAAGAATCCATAAGGTTGTTAAAGTAGTCCATGACCATCAAGGTAAGAGTGGTCCTGAAACGCATTACTATTAGCATTAAAGATTGACCTGTCAACATCCCTAGCTCGAATCTGATTTGTGGTTGATCACTTTGTTATGTTAGTATTTCGCCCATCTTAACATTGTGGTCGACGGGATTGTTACGTCAGTGTCTCGCGCATCTTAGAATTGTAGCTGTTCAGATCGATATGTTAGTTCCTGCGCATCTAAAGCTGGCATCACACGTGTCGATTCTATACGCTGACCGTATTTGTAATTGATCAGATTGTTATGTTAATATCTTGCATGTCTTTACATCATGAAGTTGGTGGGATTGTTACGTTAGTACCTCGCATATCTTACGATTGTGGTTGAACAGATTGTTACGTACGTATCTCGCGCACCTTTACATCAGATTGTTACGTAAGTATCTCGCGCATCTTTAAATGGAAGTTGATCACATTCTTACGTTAGTATCTCGCGCATCTTTACAATGTAGTCGATCAGATTGTTACGAAAGTATCTCGCGCATCTTTTCACTGTGGTTGATCAGATTGTTGTGTTAGTATCTCTGGCACCTTTAGATTGTAGTTAAACAGATTGTTATGTAAGTATCTCACGCATCTTTCGATTGTAGTTGGTCAGATTGTTACGTTGGTATCTCGCACATAATTGGACTGTAGTTGATCAGATTGCTTACTAAAGATTACACCTTGCTCAACTTTTGATTGTAGTCGTTCAGATTGTTATCTTAGTAGCTTGCGCAACCTAAGATTGTAGTCGTTCAGATTCTTACGTTTGTATCTGGTACATTTTTAGATTGTTGTCGGTTAGTTTGCTACGTTAGTATCTCGCGCACCTTTCGACTGTAGCTGTTCAGATTGTTTTCTTAGTACCTTGTGCATCCTAAGATTGTAGTTGTTCACATTGTTAGGTTAGTATCTCGCGCATCTTTAGATCGTAGTTGTTCAGATTGTTACGTTAGTATCTCGCGCATCTTTAGATCGTAGTTGATCAGATTGTTACGTTAGTATCTCGCGCATCTTTAGATCGTAGTTGTTCAGATTGTTAGCTTAGTATCTCGCGCATCTTTAGATCGTAGTTGTTCAGATTGTTAGGTTAGTATCTCGCGCATCTTTAGATGGTAGACGATCAGATTGTGAGGTTAGTATCTCCCGCATTATTAGATCGTAGTTGATCAGATTGTTAGGCTAGTATCTCGCGCATCTTTACTNAGGTTAGTATCTCGCGCATCTTTAGATCGTAATTGTTCAGATTGTTAGGTTAGTATCTCGCGCATCTTTAGATCGTAGTTGTTCAGATTGTTAGGCTAGTATCTCGCGCATCTTTAGATCGTAGTTGTTCAGATTGTTAGGTTAGTATCTCGCGCATCTTTAGATCGTAGTTGTTCAGATTGTTAGGCTAGTATCTCGCGCATCTTTAGATCGTAGTTGTTCAGATTGTTAGGTTAGTATCTCGCGCATGTTTAGATCGTAGTTGTTCAGATTGTTAGGTTAGTATCTCGCACATCTTTAGATTGTAGTTGATCACATCATAGTTACCACATTGTTAGGTTAGTATCTCGCGCATCTTTAGATCGTAATTGTTCAGATTGTTAGGTTAGTATCTCGCGCATCTTTAGATCGTAGTTGATCAGATTGTTAGCCAGTATCTCGCCCCTCTAGATTGTAGTTGATCACATTGCTAGGTTAGTATCTCGTGCATCTTTAGATGGTAGTTGATCAGATTGTTACGTTAGTAGCTCGCGCATCTTTAGATCGTAGTTGTTCAGATTGTTAGGTTAGTATCTCGCGCATCTTTAGATCGTAGTTGTTCAGATTGTTAGGTTAGTATCTCGCGCATCTTTAGATCGTAGTTGTTCAGATTGTTAGGTTAGTATCTCGCGCATCTTTAGATCGTAGTTGTTCATATTGTTAGGTTAGTATCTCGCGCATATTTAGATCGTAGTTGATCACATTGTTACGTTAGTATCTCGCACATGTTTAGATCGTGGTTGATCAGATTGTTAGGTTAGTATCTCGCGCATCTTTAGATTGTAGTTGATCACATCATAGTTATCGCATTGTTGGGTTAGTATCTCGCGCATCTTTAGCTCGTAATTGTTCAGATTGTTACGTTAGTATCTCGCGCATCTTTCGATCGTAGTTTTTCAGATAGTTAGGTTAGTATCTCGCGCATCTTTAGATGGTAGTTGTTCAGCTTGTTAGGTTACTATCTCGCGCATCTTTAGATCGTAGTTGTTCAGATTGTTAGGTTAGTATCTCGCGCATCTTTAGATGGTAATTGTTCAGATTGTTAGGTTAGTATCTCGCGCATCTTTAGATCGTAGTTGTTCAGATGGTTAGGTTAGTATCTCCCTCATCTGGACAACTGGACCCAGATTAGTACGTAAGTATCTCGCGCATCTTGAGATTGTAGTTGATCAGATAATTAGATTAGTATCTCGCGCATCTTTAGAATGTAGTTGATCAGATTATTACGTTAGTATCTCGCGTATCTTTTGATTGTAGTTGATTAGATAGCTAAGTTAGTATCTTGCGCACCTTTAAATTGTAGTTGATGAGATTGTTATGTTAGTATCTCTCGCATCTTTAGATTGTAGTTGATCAGATTGTTACGCTAGTATCTCGTGCATCTTTTGATTGTAGTTGATCAGATTTTTACGTTAGTATCTCGCGCATCTTTTGGTTGTGGTTGATTAGATTGTTACGTTAGTAACTCGCGCATCTTTTGATTGTGGTTGATCAGATTAGTACGTAAGTATCTCGCGCATCTTTTGATTGTAGTTGATCAAAAGGTTGTTATTATTTGGCGCATCTTCCGCCTGTAGCTGTTCAGATTGTTTTCTTAGCATCACACGCATCTTTAAACTGTACTTGATCATTACTAACTCACGCATCGTTTGATTGTGGTTTATCAGATTGTTTCGTCAGTATCTTGGGCATTTTAATCAGATTTATACGTTATTAGTATCTGGTGCATCTTTAAATTGTAGTTGATCAAAATTGGATTCAACATTTAGTGAGAACTGCACAAATAATGTTTCCTCTATGATAACCTTTGTGTTTAGAGTTATTGTTCTTACTTCATAGCTCCCATTGGTTCATCACCATAGGGTCCCATTGCTGGTTGACTGTCATCTCCTTCACTTGTGACGCGTGATGCAGCCTGACTTGTTACCCTGGTAACGGCACTGGATTGAGGCTGAAGATTGGAGGTGTTTCTAGACCTATTTCTTCTTGACCTTCCTGTATCGTGACTCCCAGTTCCTTGAAAACAGATTTAAATACAAACTACTTAAAGAGGAAGTTGTAGTCAAGACAGGTCCACACTTTTGATCAGCACCAATCAACCCCTACGAGGAACTTTCACCTTATATCTTTTTAATGTTTCTCTACTGAATTAAACATTAAGGTGGTAAGAATTAAAGTAAATGATCAACAATGAAAGAAGCTCTTGACCATCAATCAAATTCTCCTCGTCAGTATAAGAAGAAAGGTATGAAGAACGACGTGGAGAATATGAATACTGATAGTATGGTGTCAATTAAGGGCTAAATCAGGTTTTTGCAATACTGAACCAATACGGATACTGTCTACCTCAATCACAGTTCCCTATCCATAAGGTCAATAAAACTGAATTATAAAAATATTACTAAATAGAATGAGAAAGATGGTAAAATTTGAGCTTGGTGAAGAAATAGAGAAAGATGTTTTTTCGTCTTGTCACGAGCGTGGGACTAGGTTGAGGCTTGGGCACATTTGCATTGCATTAATTCTGGACTGGCATCCTGACAAGAGGAAATAATGATTTTTTCAAGTCACCCCAAGTGCTGGAGCAGTGTGTTAAGTTGATTTTTGTTTTGTCTCACGCTCATTACAAGACAAAAAAACATCTTTCTCAAAAACATTATTTTTTGCTTTACACATGACGCCTAAACTCTGGTAGCAGAATTGGTGCCCTTTTCTGCAAATTAAGTCACCAAATTGTTTTTCTCCAGGCCATGGTATCCAAGACACCAGCAGCTAGTAGGACTAACATGAAACAATGATTAGATACAGCACTCACTTGTGTTGGTAGCTGGTGTAACCAAACTTTGTTGCTCATGAGCTTCGTCCAAACTGGCAAACCAGGACAAGTACTCTTTGATGTTGGAACGGGTTGAAAAGACTCCTTCATGTGCACTCTGGTAAGGACATACAGACATGGGTCTTGACCTTAACAAAAAATACATTGTACTAGTTATCACTCCAAAACACCCCCTGTCAGTAATAATCAATGGTTTCTGACTGAGACAAAGGTATTGGCGCACTTTAGGGACACCTCCTTTGCCACTTACTCTATCCACACTTTTCCCTCTTAAAATGTTGATTTTAATGTTTTTGATCATTAACTTTGCTGTCAAGGGGTGGTTTGATCACTTTAAAAACATACATACCTAGGTTCTCTATACTGAGGTCACATAAAGACAAATATAAAGTATGGACCTTTTGAGTGTGATTTGCAAAGGTACTGTCTCAGAGACTTTTAGCCAGGATTGAAGCTTAATAGGCAAATCAAACCACATCTTCTATTCCTGTTCTAGTTTCTTTGCTGCCCTTAGAATGAAAGCTAGTTATATTGCTCTCAAAAAACAGAACAATGTGGTTAAGCATGTTGCAAACATGGTGTCACACAGAAAGTCATGTACAGTGAAGCTCTAGCTGGTTAATCATACATGAGAAGGCACTGGAATGCTACAGGCTTAGATTGTGCAGGGCATTTCCACGATCAAATTCATCTGAAACTCCACTTAAAACTGCTCTTAAGCTCCTGAGGTGACTTAAGAAAATCAAAATTGATTCATTACCTCTCTCCTTCTGTCTTTGTGAAATTTAAGTTGTATTGTTTACATCCTCTTCTAAACACTTGCTTCTCAGGTTGCATCCTGAACATGCACTGTAATTAGAAACCAATTCAACGACTGTATTGTACATGTATCAATATTTAACAAATGGTAAACACCACAGCGTACACTATTGAGTTATGGATGCACGCAGGAGGTTGCTAAGCACGAAAGAAGCGTAAGAGTCGCTCGAGGCAACA